GTTGAGGCCGAGAGTCAAGGCAAATTCTTGTCCTGCGATCAATCGCTTCTGTATTTTGGATTTGTTGCGCTCAATTGTCGTGTAAATCGTACGATAAGGTTGAGAAATATCAGCTCAAAATCGCTGAATCTCAAACTTCATCTCGAAAGCATTGATAAAGGATATGAGGTCGGAATTATATGTGCATTCGCTACTTTTTTTTTTGAATTTTTTTTCAAGTTCACGCATCGATATTGCATTTTGAATGAAATATTCCATATGCCGAAATATCAGGAACAGCTATAATTTTTGGTTTGATTTTCCAGTTATGCGGCTATCAACTTTTCCAGCCCCTCTGACCAGTGCTGTGGACAGTTTGCTGACCATCCTGATGTCCTCCTTTGTTTCTAAAGTGATTATCAGCTTAGTGATTCTTCGAGCAAAAAAAAAAAAACATTGAAATATATGGAAAACAAGTTTCCTGTCAGATGGATGTTGTAGAGGATATCGCCGTGATCATGATAGGAAATCATGATAAAAATCCGAATAACTTGAAATGTTGCTTGTTTTAATGACAGACGTTGAGTGTTCTGAACATTTCACATGATAATCTTCGAATTGGCTTATCCGTGTAACAGCGAAAACTAGTGCAAACTGGAAATTTGACTGCCACAGCTGGGCTTGATATGTTGTATTAGTATTAGTAGCTACGCTCAGTTGGGTTTGAACTCATTAAGTCCTGCGTGGACTGGGAACATCCCCTTAAAATTACAGCTTTCTAGCTTTTCTGGTTTCCAAGTTGGCCACTTACTCGCCAAAACTTTACGGGCTCGCAAGTGGGAACACAGCGATACTTTTTCGTTTCCACAAGTTTTCGTTAAAAATTCAACTTTGAGAAAGCAGGTGCAGCAATATGATCGTAGATTGATGCGTCGGAAGTGAGAGAAACGCAGCGAACATTTTGAAAGTCCTGCAAAATGTGCCTTGTCCTGCAGGAGAGTTTTTGAGCTGAATCTCGTGATGGTCACTTTTTCAAGAAAAAATTAATGTTAGGGCACTAGCAGGTTGGCCACCAGACGATACAGCATTGGTCAGGACATCTGGAAGATTGGCAGTTATGGTCATCTGGAAGATTATCTGGTGAACGAAACTGTGATACTGACGAGGTCCAGTCGCGGTGTTAAGTTAAGACCTATATGACTTAATGGACCGAAACGTCTTATCTCACTCTTACCTTCTTTCCTCGTGCTATTCTGCTTTCTGTATTCAATTGCGCCTTCAGTACTTTAATTTCGTCGGCATATTTATCGCCCACATGGAAAATCGTATAGCTAAATTGAGACCCAATTTGCGCTTGCGCTACGACTTAGGGCACTTCGAAGGTATTTGTAACGAAGTGGCAGTTTCGCTTGCCGAGTCAACCTGGCTGCTACAGTCGGCTTAACAGCTGTTTTAAGTATTACAGTATAGGTTTTTAATGTTGTATTAATAGAATAATATGATAGCGAAGAAATCAGTCTTGAAATTTTTGACAAAATTTTTGGATTGCAGTTGTTGGAGCATGGAATCGTTGTTTTGAAGCCTCGAGAGACGTACATGCTTCACGTTGTTTTTGAGCCCAAACTCTGTGCTTTTTTTCGAAATGTTCTGCAAATCAGTGTACTCAATGCTGAATGTATCAAATATTCGGTGAGGATTTTTTTCGGGCTTATTACCGTTGATTTGTGAAAAAAAAACACCCTTTTAAACAGGTCTTCTGTGGAAAATTTCTGCTGAAAAACGTTCAAAATCTACTGAATTACAACTATTTCTGCTTTATAACTAGAACAATTTATCATCTGTGATTCAAAGCCTGATTATGCAGCTTTTTAGTGGCTTTGAGCTAAGCTGCATTCCCTTTTAGCCAGTTTGCCCTGAAGATACTGACATCCGTTCTTCCTTTTGATAGGGGTACTGGTCCAGTGATTCTTCCAAAAGGAATAGCTGGCAAAGCTTTTTTAAAATTTTTTTTCCAAAATATTTTAGGATTCTTTTTTTTTGAGATTTTTCGAGCATTACTGTTTGCCACTTCCTGTGATCACGATGAAGTACCTTACCAAAACAAGAGTTATCATGATATAACCTCCTAGTAGTCAAATATAACAATATTATGCTTAAGTGTAATGTTATTCAATGTATTTGATTTTTTTTTTGCAGTTCAGTTTTGCAGTTTGCAGTTTAATTTTGCAGTTTTTGCAGCTTTGCAGTTTGCAGTGCAGTCAAGTACAATGTTATTCAATGTATTTGTATTTTTTTTTTTTTTTTTGCAATTTTTGTCGTATTTTTTCAATAAATTTTTAGGTTCCATTACATGGAAGCGGTGGAGTTGCAGCACTGCGTGTTTTGGCGCAACCGGAGCTACAGATGCTGCGCGATGGGTCATTTGTTCTGACCACACAAGGAGTTACAAATATCGGTTTTGATGTCGAAAACAAAGGATTGAGGTTATTCATTAATACGCAGCAATACCAAAAATACCAAGATCACCCGCGGATTTAATGTGGGTATCCCGTGCTGGCTTTATCGGATCCAGGGGAAGGGGGCTAGTGAGGCTTCCGATGTAGTGGCGGAAAAGGAAGGGTATAGGAGGAGGGGGGGAGGGGGAGCTGGGAGGAATAGGAGGGAGATCATCCAAATCTTGTCTTCCCTCCCCTCTCCCCCTCCCTTGCCGAAAAGCCGTCCTGGGTTCGCCCGTGCATGTTGATAATGGGTTTCTTCCATACGACGGATGTAGCTATATCAGGCTTTTCGATCGTAGGCTGTTTACCTCGATTAGCTCCTACCGTCTGTCCAATGGTTTTAAAATAAGGATAAATTATATAATATTTCAGAGATGCATTTTTACGCCTTATTGTTCTCGATAAAGAAACGAAGAAACCGGTAAAAGGATCTGTTGTTACACCATCGGATTGTGTTTGCATACTACGTCGTGGTACCCAGGTATTTCAGAGTTTTCTGCTTAGATGAGTTAATGTGACACGAATTTAGGGGCTATATTTGGCTTAAAAAAAAAAGAAATTAGTTTTGGACGTCATGTGGCGTTAAATTCGTTAAGTGCTCAACGCAAATTTGTTGTGGCTTTCGAGATGCAGCTTGCAAAAAAGGCTTTAATTGTATTAATTATAATTAAAAAACATAACAATCAATAAAAAAAAAAAAATAAATGGCAACGCGCACCAGGCTAGCCGGTGCGATCATGCGTTTTGTGCAATT